AAGAAGAAGAAGAAGAAGAAGAAGAAGAAGAAGAAGAAGAAGAAGAAGAAGAAGAAGAAGAAGAAGAAGAGCCATTCAATAAAACAGCCTTGACATGGGGGAGGTGGCGTAGCGTAGATGCATGAGGATTCGCGACAGAAGTTTGACTCGAGGAGTCACAGCGGGACAGGAGCGAAAAGGATTGAAGGGTGTAGGAGGGAGGAGAGGAGGGGGGGAAAAGGAGGGGGCTCACATCGAGAGAGGGGCGACCTGGTGCAGGGCTCCTTCGCACACGACTCCTCCAAGCGCCTCAATTTTATCCCGGAATATTGAATATTTCTGCAGCAAAGCCTGATCCCTCCTCTTTGGCGCGGAGGACGGAGAAACTTCTCCAGCGTGGCCAAAAGGCTCAACATGTTTTTGACGCTTTAAATAAAGTACATAACACCTCAGCTGGGAACCGGTATAGAGAAGGTACTATGTATGAGTGAAGAACGACTCACTGAGTTTTAAAATAAACGACACAGGAATCTTGCGGAATCGTGGGTAATTCATGTTGCGCATTTAGAGGGGTTAAATTCATTTCATAAGCCATATACGGAACAGGTCCTTGTACGTACCAGTGGGTGCTGCAGTTAGGGAGTTTTCAAAACCGTCGAAGGTGATGTGGGGGAGGGGGGTGGGTGACCGGCCGACTCGCGGATAAAAGGGTTGGGTAAAGGGTGTGTGTTGGGAGGGAAAGGGGGGATGGGGGCCCTGGGAGTGACATCCGGGATCCATGCGGTATGCGCGGGGAAGCCCCACAGCCCCTCGCCCCACCTCCGCCCCCTCTCCGCGTTTCCCCCCGGCCGTTCCGAGACCTTATTGGCAAAGTTTGCGCTGTGATCTGCATGGGATCCCATGGGGCGCGGTGGGACGTAGCGGGGCGGGGCGGGGTGGAGCAGGCGTGGCGGGGCATGGTGGGGGCGTGGCCCATGGCTGGCGCTCCTGTCTGTCAACTTCTGTCATGGAGCCAAGTTGATGCCGAGATCAACACTGCTGCCGCCGCCGGCGTCCAAAAAAAAAAAAAGAAGAAACAAACTTGATTGTCGTCAAGCTCGCAGGCCCCAAACTTTGAGGTTCGTCGCGCCTTTTATGGTGTCCGGGAGGACGGGGCGCCGACCGGACCTCCGAGCTGATCTGCACTGGTCACGAGAAACGACGCAAGTCGTAACGCCGTCAACAACAAAAGGACGTAAGTCATTGGATGGACCAATGCCTGTCATGTGCTCTACAAACATAACGGTTTGCGAGAAACGAAAACATACAAAAGCACGCCAAGTTCATTTAATTTTATTCTTACCAAGCTCTGCTATCGTACAATAAAAACGATTCTATTAAAATAAAATTTTATCACATCACTACACTTAACTCAGAAAAATATAATAACCTAAGATACGCCCGAAGCGCGTATCACCAACACAACAAGGAGTCCGACACAAAAAGCAACCTTACATGAGAGACTTGTCAGATGTCTCGACGAGGGTGGAGCAGGGGTTGATGGGTGAAGGTGGAAGAGGGAGTTGGGTTGGGAAGGAGGGGGGGGGGCTCAGATAGGGGCACAGAGGTAGACGATTCGTCCTCTCTCCTGCCGTCCATACGCATCGAAAGGCGGCGATGAGGGGGTGAAGGGTGGATAGCAGACAGCGAGGGCTGAAGATGTTCCCGGAAGGCGTGGCATGACGTGGTGTGGCGGGGCGGGGTGTGGCGGGGTGTGGCGTGGCGGGGCGGGGCGGTGTCTGGAGGCAGGCTGTTTCCATGGTGGCCAACGCCGCCAGCTCCGGGCCGCCGCGCCTCGATGATAAGATAACAGCCCCGGCAGCGGCGGTGCGGCCCGACAGGTCTTTCACCCGGCAGAGCGGAGCGGGGTGGGGCGGGGCGGGCGGCGGAGGCCGCGTACAAAAAACTATGCGGATCTTAAGTCCAGCGAGGTTTTCCCTTTGAGCCGAGGACAAGAGATGCAGCTCGAGTTTCCGACATTTTGTGGAATGGAGGCCAAGGGAGGGCCGCGACGAGGACTCGGAGGTGTGTTAGTGAGTTCGGTACCCGGGCGGCGGTATTCAGCAGTCCTCGGCGACGCCAGCGCTGTAGGCCGGCGAGGACGCCCACGCCACCTGCTGCAGCGCGGCGCTCGAGTCCGCCTCCCAGTCGCTGCTCGAGTCCCGGCGCTCCTGGAGGCCGACGGCGTCCAGGTAGGACGAGTCCGCCGCCGACACGCTCCGGTACACGTCCGGAAAGCGGCCGCAGCCGTCGTCGGCCTCGTAGATGGGGTAGGCGTCCGCGAGGTGGTGGTGCCGGTAGGGCGGCTGCGGCTGTGCCGGCTGCGGCTCCGTCGCGAAGTACTGCAGCGTGCTGCCTACGTGCGCGCTGCTGTGGCGGCGCAGCGGCGGCGGCTGCAGCGGGGACCCCGGTGACGCGCTCCGGGCCGACACGACCGAGGCCGCGGGGCTGGCGGGCTTGCCGGGCGCCGTCTTGGTCGACTCGTCGCCAGGGCCGCGGCCACGCTGCTCCTTCTTGTACTTCATGCGCCGGTTCTGGAACCAGATCTTGATCTGGCGCTCGGTGAGGCTGAGCAGCGCGGCCATCTCGATGCGACGGGGCCGGCACAGGTAGCGGTTGAAGTGGAACTCCTTCTCCAGCTCAACGAGCTGCGCCGACGTGTAGGCCGTCCGGGCGCGCTTGCTCGTGGACGACGAGGACGACGATGAAGAGGAGGACGTCGTCGACGACGAGGCCACCGACGTGGAGGCGGCGGCCGGGTCCGAGTCGGCGCAGGTGGAGGCGGAGCCCACGCAGTGGTCTGAAGAAGAACAACAGAGTCGTTAGGACGGACGGCGGCCGCAAACTGATTCATCCAGGAAGGAGGGGTTCATCGCCTCGGAGCGCGACCGAAGTAGAGCGGCTAATCTCCATTCGATAGGCGGGGATCCACACCACATGGAGGGAGAAGAGTGAGACCGCGGACAGAGATTGGGAGCGCGAAGGCGAGAGAGGGAGAGCGCACGATTAGGGTGTCAGAATTCACCTATCTCTCTCGCATAAATAAACTTTTTGCCGACTGATCCGGAACTCTCGGCTGCTCAGGACTGTTTGGGGAACCCGCGTCGTGTTAATTGGACCTCAGAGAAAACTGTTTGTCACACAAGGGACGCACTCCCGCCAAACTTAAAACTTTCGACCGGACAGGGTATTTTGCATTTCGTGGCTCTGGATCAAGAGTCCGCACCGAGCCGGCTCCAGCTGCAGGGCCTCGAGGACGGGCGAGAGGTTAGCGACGCGCCACCGGGCCCAGGCACCTGGCCCGGCCACGGCCCCCAAAGCCACCAGGCTCTCGGGCAAAGCTACCTATCTACCGCGGTGACGCGGGGTCAGGCCCCGGCCGGGCCGGCCAGAGACGGCCGCCCTCTCCCCGTCCTCCTCAATAATAAGCCCCCCTTCGCCCCGGCCGTACTCCGTACCCTTCCCCCGACCCTCCCCCCGCAGCCCCAACTCTTCCGCCGCTATGTCCGATCGTAAAAAGCCCGGGGATGAATGCAAGAGACCGCGTCGGCCGGACAGCGCCGTATCGCTGCACCCCTCCCTCCCTCTCTCTTTCTCTCTCCCCGCCGAGCCCCGGGGTGCCTCGCTATTCGGAAGCAGGACCCAGCCCCTGGAATCAATGGAAATCCGCGGGTCTGAATGCCGCCCTGCTTATGCAGTGCGCGAGCAAGCCGCGGAAGGGCAAACAAAAAAAAAGAAAAGAAAAAAATCTCCAGTTTGGAGGAGCGCCCGCGACGGCGATGCTCACCTGTCATGCCACCGAAGGACGGCGTCGTCTGGTGTCCGAGACCGACACTGGACGAGACGACGTCGCCGTCCTCGTCCACGAGGTCATCCTGGTGGTGGTGCCAGGGCCTGAAGCGCTCCGCCGCCGTGCACTCGGGCAGCGTGGTGGTGGAGACCACGGTGTAGTCCGGGTAGGGCGGGAGCGCGGGCGGCGCCGGCGCGTAGTCCTGGGCGGGCGCATCGTAGCCGCGCGCCCAGTCCAGGGCCGGCGCCGGGCTGGCGTTGCGGTCCAGGCACATCAGGTAGTGCTTGAGCAGCATGTCGTCCTCCTCCTGGGGGCCGGCCACGTCCCCGTCGAGGAAGGCGCTGCTGCGCGTGTCCGGGTGGCCCTCGTCCTGGAGCACGTCCGAGCGCTGGTTGTCCAGGTCGAAGACGGACAGGAAGGGCGGCGCGGCCGCCGTCGGCGTCCCCGCGGCACCCGGGCCAGCGGCGTCCTGGCGGCCCGCCCGGCACGTGCTGCTGTCGAAGCTGAAGACGAAGCTGGCCACCAACGGGGAGAGGTCTTCCTGGTGGTCGGGCCTCCCTGTCAGCGCGTCAGCCATCCCCGCGACTCGCACTGCAAACAGTAGCATTTGGCATGAATAAATAAAGGGGAAAGAAAATTTAACTTGGCGAGTGAGTTTGCAGGTGGGCATGCTTGGCTTCTGTCGCGGCCCACGTGCTGCGTCTACCGTGCAAACCACGAGCGGTCGGTCAAGAACATTTTTTCACAAAAGGCCCCCGAGATAATTTCACCGTGTTTAGAGTGCATTGGGGGAATGTGAGCAACAGCAACAACAATAACAACTGGCACAACAACGGCCCGTCCCTCCTGGGGGCGCGGGTGTCGCGCGTGTCGGTCGGCCCTTCGCCTTTTGTTTTTCAGACGGCGGCGACGGCGGACATGTGCCCGGGGCGCACCGAGCACCCGCGGGCGACAGGGAGGCACGTTTTGTTTTCGCGAGACGAGTACACACACACACACACACACAGCAGTCGTGGGTGGAGGTGGCCAGTAGTGCGTCCCACCGCCTCCAGCGGGTAGCCACATACTACCTACGCCCCCCCCACCGTTCCAGCTGGCCCAGCCATGCAAGAGACAAAACACTGGTTGGCGGTGAGGTCAGGAAAGCTGTAGGCCTAACTTCCCCACGTTTTAATGAAACTTCGCACAATAATAATTATTATTATAAGAATTATGTAATAGTTATTATTATTCGCCAAGTACAAGCGAATTTCAATATTGAGTGGCACGGCACCATTGGCCTAGCCTAACCTAACCGCACTGACCGACACAGACGGGCGCGCGCGTCTTCGCGCTTTTATCGCTCTATCTTTCTGCCCTGCGCGAGATTCGCCGAACTATTTTGCTCACTTTTATCCGTCTGAGTCCCGCCCCGGACCCTTACCGCACACGGTGACCAAACGAGCCGCCGCTCGCCCCAACGGCGAGGCGGATCTGCCGCGAGAGTGCTCGTCGAACGCGCGGGTCCACGCCGTGCGATCCGTCACAACGATCCTCGCACTGCTACGGCTGGGCTGGGGGCGACACCGACAAGCACCCAGCACGCCCAGTGCACGCCCAGTGTGACCACACAACGTGACTTTAGAGGGAGGGATCACAATATAAGGCGGCCCTTAAAGGATGAGGACGCGTTCATTGGAGTTCATAGGGCCCCCATGATATTTCTACCCAGGGGTATACAAACAAGCGTGCGGCTTCTCCTGACTCGAATATTTGCCCCCCCCCCCTTCCCCTTTAAGTCACGTTATTCGGGCACAGCGCATTTCGATTCGACTGTCCCCAACCGCTTCAACATCCAGAGTTGTGCAAATTATTTGGTGTGGCAGTCATTCAAAGAATATGGTGCGATTCTACTGACACCACCTTGCTACCACACTTACTTCACTTATTATCTTCACGTTTTATCGTTGGTACAAGATACTTCAATTTGTTGCCACACACTTTCATTCCCAAAGTGGATGCTCAGTTTTTTTTCCCCCGAACTGTTTGCTCCAGTTGATCTGATGCGCAACTGTGCCACACTCGCGGTGTCCAGTGGACACTGTCCACCAACACGGCGCGAGGTCCCCGATGCCCACTGGCTTTGCGTGGGACAAGTCCATTACGGCGCCAGATGACAACTCCTGTTTAACCGCAACAAAGTAGACGTCACGGTACAATGCCGGCCCTAAAAACACACTGCGCCGCACATGTGCCCGGCGATGCTCGTTCGCTATTAAATACAAATTAAAATGACGCCCACCAGGTGGGTGACTTACACGTCGTGCACTTTTTGTAACTTCGACTGTGCCTGATGCAGACGAGCGGTTGGGGTGCCAACTACCGCATTGCTGTAAGAGGGAGCCTCCCGATACATACAGTCGCATCACAGTATTCACAAAACTCGCAAGCCCAGCTTCTCATTTAACCACATCAATTTTTAAATTCACACTACAATTTTAGTATCACGTCGTAACATAGCACGCCTTTACAATTTTTTACGGGAGCCTTTTTAGCACGCGCGACACTGTCTCACAACAAACAGAAAACAAACGAGTTTTCGTTTTTCACAAAACACAAAAATACCCGCCAGTCACTCACCGTCCGGTGCTGCGTGATGTAGCTCTGCGACTGGACTCCAGCGGTCTTCTCCAGAGCTGTGCGGCCCCACGACAGGTGTCTGCCTCGCCGCACCCCGCCGCGCCCCGCCACGCCCGCCGAGCCGACACCCAAACACGCCAGTTCGGAACTGATTCATTCAATGAAACGCCCACTTGTAAGAAGCGGCAATTTTCGGCTAAGAAAGTGCAATATGTTATTTAAAAATACCTGTTTTGTTCTGATACATTTTGAGGGGAGTTTACTTCGTAATTTAAATTTTGTTTGGAGTTTATGTAAAGATTAATTGTAGGCGTAGGCCGTCGATAAACGTATCCGCATACAAAGAAGCGTTTTAAAGTGCAAAAATTCAAAAATGCCTTGAAAGGAGTGCAATTAACACAAAATATGAAATTGTGGGGGAGGGGGGGGCATATTTCAGTACGCTTAGCTATCTCGTCAACCTATTTTTCCAACATTTTTACGTGAGTAATCCCTATGCATTCTGCAACTCGTTGTGCTGTATTTTTTGGGTATTTTCTTGTGTGTCTATGGTTCTTAATTTGTCCCCCTCCCCAAACCCCCCACACACTTCCCCCTTAAAAGTACCAACAAGAATGGGTCATTCCAACGTTCCTCAGATATTACATAAAATGTTAAAAGTCTCGTGCCCGAAAACGACATTTACCTAAAACGTGCCATACTATGACAATTTCGTTAAGTAAACCCTATGAGGTGGGTGGTCGCTGACAAGTTGCGAGAGGAGCAGTGCAGAAACGTCTGCTATTTTCGGCCAACATCATCAGCAGCCTGCCTCTGCACGGCAGTCTCTTATCGGCCAGAGGGGCTACTTCCGATCCACGATCGATCTCCCTCTCCCCTTCTCTCTCTGCCTCTCTCT